TCCTTCCTCCTCTCCTCCTCCTCCTCCTCTCTCACTGCGCCACCGAGGCGCTGCCGGGAGGAGACACCCACGGGACCCCCCAGCCCCTCCCGGTGCCGGGACAGGGCGCTGTGCTCCCCCTCCCCCCTAAAAAACACCCCTCTAAGCAGCAACGCGGCACTGCCCCCCCAAACTGAGCCCCCCTACTCGCAGCATCGTGGCCCCCGCGCTGGGCGGACCGGGCTGTCCCCGCGGGCTGCCGGGGGGTCTGGGGTATTTGTGGGGAGGGGGAGAGGTCTCACCTGCGGGGATGGGGGTCTGCAGGCTACCCCGCTTCTTGAAGTGACACTTGGCCGGGGGGACAGAGGACATGGCGGCTCCGGGGGGCGGTGGGGGGGCCCGGGGGACTCTTACGGCGGCGGGGCCGCAGCGGCCGCTCCCTCCCCTGGTTGATGATTGATGCAGGAACCCGGGAATGGACCAAAGTCCCCGGCGGGGCCCGGCCGGAAACCGGGACGAGGAAGAGGATGGGGCGGGCGGAGGATGTGGCGAGGAGGAGGAGGAGGAGGAAGGAGGAGGAAGGAGGTGGCGGCTGCGGCGCTGGAGGGTGGGGGGGGCGAGACCCGCCATGGGGCTGCGAGCTACGGGGGTGCGGGGCTGCGATACCCCCGGGACAGCCGTGTCCCCCCTCACAGACCGCCCTGTCCCCCCCAGGACAGCCGTGTCCCCCCTGCGGAGAGCCCTGTCCCCCCCAGGACAGCCGTGTCCCCCCTCCGGAGAGCTCTGTGCCCTCCCCGGGACAGACGTGACACCCCCCAGACAGCCGAGAGCCCTCCCACACAGCCCTAATTGTCCCCCAGGGGACAGTCCTGTACCCCTATGGGGACAGCCGTGACCCCACCCCATCCCACGGGGGTACATCTGCCCCCCGGACAAAACGCGGCTCCCCCGGCGGACCGCCCTGTACCCCCGTGGRGACAGCCGTGACCCCCCCGGGATGGACGGGTAACCCCCCGGCCCGGACAGCCCTGTACCCCCAGGACAGCCCCGAAAAGCACCCCCAGGCAGCTCCGTACCTCCAYAGGAACACCCCTCAGACAGCCGTGACCCCCCCCCGGTCCAACCCTAACCTCCCCCCAAAGCAGGCATCGTACCCCCACCAGAGATGGTATCGGACCCCCCCAAAGTGACAGCGACGCTTCCAAAACGGGGTAACCTCCCCGAGAGGGACATTGTGTCCCCCCAATATAAGCATTGCCCCCCCCCAACAGGCATTGCCCCCCCAAAAGTCAGGGTATCGTTCTTCTTCACCCAGAGATTGTCTCCATCCCAATGGGAACCCGTGTGCCCCCCCAAGAGGCACCGTCACCCCCGSGCCGGGCATCACCCTCCCCAACACAGACCGTCACTGCCCCCCGTAAACATTGTATCCCAAAAAATCACCGAGTACCCCCAAAATCACCGAATACCCTCCAAAACACCGAGTACCCCCCAAAATCACCGAATACCTCCCCAAAACACTGAGTATCCCCAACAATCACCGAATAGCCTCCAAAATCACCAAATACCCCCAAAATCACTGAATACCTCCCCAAAATAACCGAGTACCCCCAAAATCACCGAATACCCCCCAAAATGGGGCATCGCCTCCTCCACGATGGTGATTCTCCCCCCCAGGTGTGGTACCGCCCCCCAAAAGAAGGGGTTCACACTCTGTCACCAGCTCTCCCCCGGCTCAGACCCCGCTGGGGGGGTTCCCCTGAGCCCCCCCCCCCCGGGATGTCCCCATGGACCCCCTCGCCCCCAGGCCCCCAACTCACCCTTCAGCCAAACTGGGGGCACCCAGGAGCACAGCCCGGCTTTGGGGTGCCGGGACTGTCGCTTTTGCCCTCGCCTCGGTCTCCGCGTGTCCCTACCTGGGTTGGGGGTCCCGGTGCCGGGGTGGCTCTGGGTGGCGGTCGGGCTGTGTCCCCTCGGAGCGCCCCGAGTGTCCCCGAAGCTGCCACCGGCGCGGGGGGGTATTTTTAGCCGCTGTCAGAGCGGAGGGAATGTCACCCACCCCACCTCCGTGCCCCCCACTCCTTGTCGTGTGGTGAAGGCACAGCGAGGTGACACCACCCACCAGGGCCACCGCTGTGCCAGGCTGGGAGGGCACAACAGCCATGGGGGACAGTGGGGACCCCCGGCCTGAGTCATGTCTCCTCTCGAGCACTGTCCGCGCCCCGCGGGGAGGGGGGGTGGCGTCTGGTATTTTAATTGGACCCCCTTCATTAGCGCCGAGTTCATTAGAGGCTCAGAAGGGGCTTTGTGTCCGCGGGGACAGCGGGAACAGAGTGTCCCCAAGGCACGGCGCTGGCAGGGGACACGCAGCCGGCGGGACGTGGGGACACGGGYGCGGGGACATGGAGCCCCCGGTGGCCCTGCGAAAATCCCTGCAGGGATTTAGGGCTCCTTAAACACAAACATTGGGGACCTGCAGGACTTTTGGGGGTCCCAAAGCCCACCCTGGGGCGGGGGGCTCCCCTTGCGGTGCCCACCTGAAACCAGCCTCGTGGGAGCAAGGGGGGAGCACCCACCCGAGCCCGGGGTTTTGGGGGGGCCGGCTGGGCTGGGGGATGGGCTGGGGGGGTGCGGAGTCCGGGAAGAGGAGGAGGAGCAGGAGGAAGGCTGAGCCACGATCCCATTAAAGAGCTTAGGCAGCGGGAGGGCGGYACCCAGTGGGGCAGGATTAGGGGGCCTCGTTACCCCCCCGGGGRTAATTAGCTCCCTTTTCCCTACAGGAGGAATCCCCCAGTGCCACTTTGCCCCTGCCATCAGCCCCCTGCCACCACCCTGTCCCCCTGTCACCACCCTGTCCCCTACCAACGCTCCAGAGCACCCTGGGGCAGGGCACACACACAACCAGGGGCTGCTCCCATCCTCAGTGCCCCCCAAATGTGGGATCACACCCCACAGACCTGAGGGAGCCCCCAAATGATTCCCACTTCCCAAATCACCCCAGGGGACCCGTCCCCACAGGCAGGGGGTGTCACGCTGCTGCCTCCCCCTTATGTAAAGCCCCCTGCCCAACTCCCTGAGATGCTCCGTCTTTTTTTTCTCCCTGAGCCCTAATCTTTGCCATCTTGGGCTAATTGGATTTCCTGGGTCACATGGCGAGATAAAAAGTCCCCAAATCCCACGGTCAAAAAAAATCAGGTTATCCATGGGGAATTAAGGGAGAGAGCGGGGGGCAGCCAGCAGCGAGGACCCACCGAGGAGCGCTGCCGGCTTGGGGCACCCCAACATTAGGGTGTGCAGTACCCGGTTCGGGTTTTTTGGAATTCCTGGTTCATCCCGCAGCGCTCACCTCGTCCCCGGGGTGTGCGTGTTGTCTCTCTGAAGAMCTGGAAAAGCCTGGGGACCTAGACGAGCTTGTGGCATTATTGGAGGAGGACGACAAGGAAGCCATGGGGAGYGGGGCCAGCGCCGAGGACAAGGAGATGGCCAAGAGGTCCAAGGAGCTGGAGAAGAAGCTCCAGGAGGATGCRGATAAGGAGGCCAAGACAGTCAAGTTGCTGCTGCTTGGTAAGGTTCGAGGGGATGTCCCCAGGAGATGCCCCTGTGTTTCCACCCTGTTGAGGCTGAGGGGATGTRGGGATGGGGATGGGGAGCAGGACAGGGAGCCCATGACCCCCCAGGCTCCTCCTGCCCTGTCCCCGCCATCCCTCGGACAAGCTTGGAGAGGTTGTCCCCTCACCTGGACGTCCCCAGGGAAGGGCTGGAGGTGGCATCGACTCTTGGGGATGGCAGGCATGAAGAGGAGAGTGGGGGGACGGGGGAAGGGACCACGACAGTGGGTCCCACTGGGGATGCGCCACATCTCAGGGGGGTCAGCGAGAGCCTGGGCATCTCCTGCCACCAGCACCCTGAAACTGCTGCTGGGTGCTAAGCAGGAGGGGACGGTCCTTTGGTGGTCCCTCCACACCCCATGGGGCAGGGGGGTAACTCTGTCGGCAGGGGGGTGACCCCACAGGGCAGGGGCCAGCAGTGGGGCCTGATCCAGGTGGGGGGGCCGGGGTCAAGGCGATTAACACCCTAATTCTAAGCAGCTTCCTGTGCTGCCCTAAGCAGCTTATGGCCCCAAAGGCATTGCCTGCACTGCCCACGGTGGGCGGGAGGTGTGGGACCTCGGGGACCTGCACCTGGGAGGACCCCAACACCCTGGGGGTCCCTGAGCTGCGGTCCCACACAGRGTGCAAGGGGTGACAGGAGTGTGGAGACGATGGCAGTGGTGGGAGGAGGCCAGGCTGGGGATCGGTGGGGGACAGTAGCTTTGATCCCCATGGGGTGCTCATCATCACTGTGGCATCAGGCCCTGATGGGCACTAAGGTGTCCCTCCCACCCTTTTGCAGGGGCTGGAGAGTCAGGGAAGAGCACCATCGTSAAGCAGATGAAGTGAGTATGGCCTGAGCCAGACTGGGGAGGGGGTGGCCACCAGGATGAGCCACCAGCTCTTGGAAACAAGACCCCGTGTCACCCTGGTGGTGGCACCTGTGATTGCCAGTGTGGGGTGGTGATTGCCACCCTAGAGGGGATGTCCTGGCTTGGGGCTGAGTCCACTGTGCCTGCCAGGATCATCCACCAGGACGGTTACACGGAGGAGGAGTGCATGGAGTTCAAGTCCATAATCTACGGGAACATCCTGCAGTCCATCCTGGCCATCATCCGCGCCATGTCTACGCTGGGCATCGACTATGCCGAGTCCTCCTGCGCGGTCAGTCGGGGTGCTGCCCCTTCCCCCCAAGCCCCATGACATGGGGCTAGGGCAGCCCCTGGAACCAGGGTCCCTAGGGGCCCCATGTTGTCCCCCCAGTCCTGAGGACACTTTGGGGGAATAGTGGCCGTGGAAGGGTTGCTGATGAAGGTCCCCCTCGCAGGATGAAGGCCGGATGCTCTTCAACCTGGCTGACTCCATCGAGGAGGGCACGATGCCCCCTGAGCTGGTCACCTGCATCAAGAAGCTGTGGAAGGACGGRGGTGTTCAGGCGTGTTTTGACCGTGCTGCCGAGTATCAGCTCAATGACTCAGCTGCATAGTGAGTGGGAACACGGCGGGCACAACTGGGACACCAGGCCTGGGCACCCCCCGGCAGCTCATGGCCGGTTCCAACCCAGCCTGGCAAAATCCATCTCCTCCTTGCTCCTGGGAATACCCCGGGCCTGCCATTCTCCACCCCACCAGTGTCATCTCCCATCCCACTGATGTCATCACCCATCCCACCGGTGTCATCCCCCATCCCAATGATGTCATCACCCATCCCACCAGTGTCATCCCCCATCCCACTGATGCCATCACCCATCCCACCAATGTCATCCCCCATCCCACTGAGGTCATCCCACATTCCACCAGTACCATTCCCCAATCCCACCAGTACTGTTCTCCATCCTGCCAGCATCATCCTCCATCCCACCAATGTCATCCCCCATCCCACTGCTGCCATCCTCCAATCCATCAGTTCTGTCCTATGTCCTCCATACCAAAAGTGTCATCCTCCATCCCACTGATGTCATCATCYATCAGAAGTGCTGCTGGCCTTCAGTCCCTCATCCCCTGCCCCCAACTCCCCCGAGGATGTCACTGCCCTGGAGTCCCAGTGTTTGGCAGAGTTCAGCCCCACTGACATCCCCAAAAACCCAGGGGAAGGTGGAAACATGGGCAGCCCCTTGGCAGCAGGTCATGCCCTTTCYTGTCCCCCCAGTTACCTGAACCAGCTGGACAGGATCACAGCCCCCAACTACCTCCCCAATGAGCAGGATGTGCTGCGATCCCGAGTGAAGACCACAGGGATCATCGAGACCAAGTTCTCTGTCAAAGACCTGAATTTCAGGTGGGTGGGAGCCTCCGCCCTCTCTGTGACTCCCCCTCTACAATTCCCCCAGCCCTGAYGGCAGGGAGGGATTTTGGGATGACCTCGACACTTGAGGGACCACCAATGCCTTCCCATGGATCGTGATTCCTGCGCCCACCGAGGATGTGGCGCTGGGACCATCACATGGGGGCTGTCAGAACCAGGTGTGTGTGTGTCCCCCTCATCCCTGTCCCCTCCCCAGGATGTTCGACGTGGGAGGGCAGCGCTCAGAACGGAAGAAGTGGATCCATTGCTTCGAGGGTGTGACCTGCATCATCTTCTGCGGAGCCCTGAGTGCATATGACATGGTGCTGGTGGAGGACGATGAAGTGGTGGGTCCTGGGAGCCAAGGGGGCGAGGAACGGGGAGCGCCGAGGGGGCTCTGAGGAGGGAGGAATAAMACTCTGCACTAATAGGGGCTCTGGGTGATCCAGGAAAGGTGTGGAGGTGCAGGATGGAGCTGATTCCCACCCAGTTGTGCCCAGTAGAGGTGTTTGTGCTTCCTCTGGGTCATGAATCCATGGGTCTGCCCATGAGGAAAGAAAGCCCCAAGTGCTCCTGARAGATCCTGAGAGCCACCGGAGAATGGCCACAGCCAACTGGAGCAAAGCCTAAGGGGAGGGCAGAAAGAGCCAGGAACCAGCTGGGATGAAGGAAAACCTGGTCCTGAGGTAGCTCACGCCTCACTGTGCCCTCTGAGGGGAGCACAGTGGGTACAGAGGGGCAGCTCCCACCCTCCCAGTGGGGGCACAAGGACGTGATCCAAAGTGTGTCCGGTGCGGGAAGCACCAGCAAAGCCCTGGGAAAGCAGCTCTGAGGGCTCAAATCTGGAAAGCAGGAACGTGGAGGCCCCATAATGGAATTTTCTTTGAAGAAATAACAGATAAGAAGTGAAGATGAGGAGAGCAGGAGCAGCTTCTTCCCTGGCATCTCCTCCAGGCCCCACAGATGCTCCTSGGGACCCAAACACCTTCTCCTGGAACTGGGTCAGGGTCAGGATCTGCCATTGATGGGCCTTGCCATGGCCAGGCAGGAGCTCGCAGCCACATGTGGAATGAGCATCTTTTCCATGGGAGCCCTTGGGAAAGGAGGGAATGCTCCCCCAGCGCAGGACAGGGCAGGATCTGGGCACAGCTGGTGCTCTGCATACAGAAAAACTGCGACAAGAAGCTGGATGAGGGAAAACCAGTGCTGGAGAACCCACCTGCTGCCCACAAAGATGGAGAAATCCCCCTTATATCAGGAAAAACCCCCCACTGGACTCAGCTCTGCCTACATGGATCCTAATCCCCTGAGGATGACCCAGCAGCAAACAAAGAACTCAACGTCTGGTCTAAAACTGGAGATTTTCCTTTCCCCAGCTCCTTTCCAAAGCTGTGGATAATGCCAGAAGCCACAGTCCAACAAGAGCATTCCCCTGATGACTGGAATGGCACTCACTGAGTGCCTTCCTCACGGGCTGCAAGGTTTCCATGGATAATTCTCCCAGTGAAATCACTACAATCCTTCATTTCTGGCAATCCCAGAAGGCACTGGAGCCACTCCCTAAGCTGAGCATTGCCTGGATTTATCTGTGATTTTGGGTGGGCAGGCAGAACTGGGCAGGCAGCAGGACCAGCTGCTGCTGCAGCAAACAGGGAAAAGCCCTTTTTTTGGGAATGGGGGCTTGGGGGGGCTGCAGTGGTCCAAGAGGGGGGTCAATCCATGATGATCCGCTTCCCTGCAGAACCGGATGCACGAATCCCTGCACCTATTCAACAGTATATGCAACCACAAGTTCTTTGCGGCCACTTCCATCATCCTCTTCCTCAACAAGAAGGACCTTTTTGAGGAAAAGATCAAGAAAGTCCATCTCAGCATCTGCTTCCCAGAGTATGACGGTGAGTCTGGACCCTTCCCAGCCTTACTCCTCCTCCTTGAGGCCTCCCAAACCTTTGGAGTTGTGTAGTCCCAGCATGGAGGTGGCAACTCAGTTTTGGGATATGTTGTGAAAGGGCTGGGGAAGGGGAGATGAGGATGATGAGAATTGGCTCTATCCCAAAAAAATGGCCGGGGAAGAGGATGAGGAGGATCAGAGCTGGTCTTATCCCAAAAAAAGGGAAGGGGAAGGGGATGAGGATGACCAGAGTCAACTCCATCCCAAATACACTGGGGAATGGGATGAGGAGGATCAGAGCTGGCTCCATCCCAAAAAAAAGGCTGGGGAAGGGCAAAGGATGAGGATGAGCAGAAACAGCTCCATCCTGCTCTGTGGGGTGGTGAGTAAAATCCTTGGAGCTGAGGAGAGGACAGATGTGGCCTGGGAAAGATGTTTGGAAGAATGGAAATGGGATAAAAAGGAGTTTAGAGCTACGCATGGTCGACTCTCAACCCTTCTCCTCCTCCTCCGATGCTCACCCCATGGGAGCAGCTTGGCAGCATTCCCTCCCTCTGCAGGTCCCAACACATTCGAGGACGCAGGGAATTACATCAAGACCCAGTTCCTGGATCTCAACATGAGGAAGGACGTGAAGGAGATCTACAGCCACATGACCTGTGCCACAGACACGCAGAACGTCAAGTTCGTCTTCGACGCCGTCACAGACGTGATCATCAAAGAGAACCTCAAGGAYTGCGGCCTCTTCTGAGCACCAGCAGGTAGGGGAGGGAATGTGGAGCCAGAAAATAGGGACAGGAGAGGGGAGGAGGGTGGTCAGAGTTGGCTCCATCCCAAAAAGGGCTGGGGAAGGGGATGAGGAAAAGCAGAGCTGGCTCTGTCCCAGAAAATGGGCTGGGGAAGGGGAGGGGGATAAAGAGGAGGATGAACAGTATTGGTCCCATCACAAAAAGGGCTGGAAAAGGGAGAGGATAAAGATGACCAGAGCTGGATCCCTCCCATAAAGGGCTGGGGAAAGGGACTGGGATGAGAATGATYGAAGTTGGCTCCATCCCAAAAAGGAGTGGGGAAGGAGAGGGAGATGAAGAGCAGAGACAGCCCCATCCCAGAAAAACAGCTGGGAAAGGGATAAGGATGATCAGAGTCGGCTCCATCCCAGAAAAAGCTGGTGAAGGGATAAGGATGATCAGAGTCAGCTCCATCCCATAAAGGGCTGGGGAAGGGGAGTGGGATGAAGAAGAACAGAGTCACGTCCATCCCCAAATGGGCTGTGGAAGGGAAAGGGGATGAGGATAAGCAGAGTCAGCTCCATTTGAGAAAAAAGGGCAGGGGAAGGGATATAATCAGAGCTGGATTCCTCCCATAAAAGTGGGATGGGGATGAGGAAGASCAGAGTTGGCTCCATCCCCAAAAAGGACTGGGGAAGTAGGAAGAGGAGMGGGATTATCAGAACCAGCTCTATCCCATAAAGGGCTGGGATAAGGAATAAGGATGATCAGAATCAGCTCCATCCCAAAAAAAAAGGGTTGGGGAAGGAAGAAGGGAATGAAAAGCAGAGCCAGCTCCATCCTGCCCCCCAAAAAAGGCTGGGGAAAGGGCTGGGGGTAAGGATGAACAGAGTTGGCTCCATCCCAAAAAAAAGAGCTGGGGATGAGGATGATCAGAGCTGGCAGCTGRCKCCATCCCAAAAAAAAGGCTAGGGAAAGAGATGAGGATGATCAGAGCTGGCTCCATCCCACTCTGTGGGATGGTGGGATGCAGGTCCCCCTGGTTTTGCCATCAAATCCTGAAATCCTAGGAGTAGGGGAGGATGGACTGGGAGCCGTGAGGGAGAAGTCTGGGGTCCCGTTAGATCAGGGATAGGGTCACATCCCTGTGCTGAGCTCCCATGGGATTCAGTCCCATCCCACAGTGTGGTGGGCTCAGCCAGACAATTCCCCCCTTGCACATGGAGTGATGAAATTCCAACCCAAATCCTCCACCTGAGCTACAGGGAACCATTTTATTTGTCTCCTGTTGCAATTCCACCTGCCCAGCCCCAACTGATGGCAATATCCTGAGGCACACTCTGCTCCTCCCCAGCCTTTTAGATCTTCCTAAAACTTTAATTACAGTTTATCATCCTAATTCTTGCAATAGTCTGAGCAGCAGCAGGAATTCCATCCCCTCTTCCCCCTTTCCAAGCACCTCCCAGCCACTGGCTCTGACACTTTGCTTTTCAGGSAACCTCCGGTGCTTCTCTTATCCTCAAATATTAACAGAAAAGCCGGAAAAAGCTAAAAATAAAAATCATCAGTCAGGTTCCCTGCAGGCAGAAGGCACCAGGAGGTGACACCTGGAAAGGGGGGGATGCTCCATCCTCATCACCACAGGGATGAAGGCAAAAGGGAAGGGTGGGGGATGCTCCATCCTCATCTCCACGGAGGAAGGCAAAGGGATGAGGTGACACCCTGTACCCCATGCTGAGTTTGTCCCTTGTTTCTATGAAATTGCTCCTCTAAGCCCTCCCTCGATGTGTTTAACTCCCTGTTCTCTCTCCCTCCCTCCCAGAAGAGGAAACCATTCCCGTCTCACCGTTCTGCTGAGCAGAGCCAAAGGAAGAATCAACCCCCACCACACATCACTGGCTCCCACTTTTTCTATGACCTGCCCAAATCTGYCTCCTTCCAAACCCCAAACTAGGAAGGGGCTGAAGCTCAACTTCTTGCTCCCTTTCATGGCCATTTCCTCTTTTTTTTTTTTTTTCCAAGGAAGAACCCCTGTTCTCAGCGTTTTACAGGAGGTTTGACACCAGAGAGCACAGCCAGGAATAGGAATATTCAGGGAATTTGGGAGGTAGGATAGACATTGCTCCCTTGCCCATCCCTCTGCAGCCCGTTCCTGGCCTTGGATCGAAGCTGGATTAATCCAGGCTGGAATTTCTAGGGAAGATGGAGACTGAGTTACCTCCRAGTCGCTCCTGGGAACCAACCTCAGCCCTTAGGCAGGAGAAATCAGGGGTTTGAGGGGTTGTTTTGGGCCCTAAATGGAGGGAATTTCTCAGTCAGGAGGGGCTGGGAGAGGGAATCCCACACTCCAGCCCAGGAATGGGCTGGATAAAGAGGAAATGGTTACTTGAAAGATTTTCATTCTGCTACTTAGAGCTGCATTTGCTCTCTCTGTTTGTAAATAATCCATAGATGAGCCCTGTATCCATCCTCTCCCTGTTTCCTGCAGAGATCTCCCATTCAGCTTCATTTAACTGTAGGAAAACACAATAAAGGAATACGCATGACGTGGATGTTCTTCCTTTCTCCCATTTCCACTTTGTTCCACACTCCTGTGTCCCAGAGCTTGGATCAAGGGATATTTCACATGCTTTGCATCCATTCCGGGGTGTATGGATCTCTGGATCCCACCTGGATCACCCCATGGCCACTGTTGTGCTCCTGGTGGGTGGGATGGGGGTCACCACCCCAAAAAATTCCTGGCCAGAGCCCCTTGGATGACTTAAAGTAGCTGGATGAGTTTAAAGGATGAGTTACCCCATGTAGGATGGCTGGAAGGGAACATCAGGCAGACACAGCTCCAGAGACTTGGAAAAGATTCCAGAACAGGGAATCTCCATCAGGGCTCCCCCTACCAGCACCCACCAGTCTCCCTGAGGAATTTATCCTGGATTTCCAAGTGTTCTCAGAACAGTCCCACCTCCATCCTGCAGAAGCACTCAGAGCAGAACTCCCATCAGGTTCACAGTGAGATTTGGGCTATAAATGAGCAATAACAATCCATCTGCCAATAATCCCACAGGCAACGGGGTTCCTGGCATGTTCCAACTGTGCCAGCACGACCCCAGTCTTTGGGAGCAGCACAACACCACCAGTGCTGGGTGATAAAGCCCAAGGAACCTCCCTGTCCAGGTAATTCCACCCAATCCCCAACAAAGCTCTTCCCTTCCTTCCCCAGCAAAGCACAAAAGCTGGGAACACTCCTGGAAAAAGGAAGAATAAAGTGGAGAAAAGGCTACAATCTTTACTCACCATTTTAATACTGCCAACAAGTCTAACAGATCCAACTGTACACATGACAAACTGGGAAGAGTCTGGATGCAATCATGGATCAGCAAAGGAATGTAGGACTGGTTAGGGATGGCACTAGAGGAAAAYAGGGATTTGGCACCACACAGACAAAGTAAAGGCATGCTCAGGACAGGGCTGGGCAGGGAAGGCCACGGGAAAGGCAGCACAGAATAATCCACCGTTTTCATCCCAAAAAATGCACAAGTTTGGGAGCTTGGAAGCAGCAGTTTTCCCCCCCAGCGTGGGCTCAGCTCCTTCCCCACTGAGCTAGGATTATGCTGAGGACAAATCCCTTYCAATATTGGCATAAAACCGGGTTCAAACCCCCAAACAGAACCTACACCCTCCATCTGTTGCAGGAGCCTTTCCCAAAGCCTGGGGGGGGGAGCAGGATGGTAACAAATCACACATGGAAAAAAAGCCGAAGCTCTAAGGATCCCTTAGGAGCTGCAGAAATATTAAATCCTGACCATAGCAAGTGTTAAAAACAAGGAATTCCTGCTAAGAGGAATATTTTCTGCAGGATCTGCTCACATGTGCATAGTTAAGTGATTTTTTTTGTTGCTTTTTTTTTAATTATTATTATTTTTAAAACAAGGTTTGCAAATAAAGAAATAAAGTTTAGTAAAGTTATAGTTTTCTCGATGAAAAAAAAAATAACCTTAAAAACAGACTAGTGGTGGCTTGTTAACCAAAAGAAGAGAGAAAGCTACATATCCAAGGTCTGGAATCCAGCTGGAATCCACCGCACAGCCTGGAGATCACGCCGTCCAACGATGCCAGGAGGATCTACTCCCACTACGTGGCTTCACCGTGCCCTAATTCCACATCCCACAGCAATAAAAGGTCCCTAAGACAGAAGATTGTGCTAAAGAATTCCAGGATTCCACGTGTTCCCCGCTCCTGGGTCATGCTCGTCGCTGTCCCCACGAGGCAGCAAGAGGCTGGGGCTCACCAGGCCAGGCAGAAACACTGGGAAGGAAACCAGGAATGTAGAAGGGAGCAGAGAGAGCCGTTCCCAGCGGGACACCCGGAGCTGCATTTACCTCTCAGTAGAGCCCGCATTCCTTGAGGTTGTTTTTGATGATGACGTCGGTGACGGCGTCGAAGACGAACTGGACGTTCTTGGTGTCGGTGGCGCAGGTGAAGTGGGTGTAGATCTCCTTGGTGTCCTTCCTCCGGTTCAGATCCTCGAACTGGCACTGGATGTAGGCGGCTGCCTCCTCGTACGTGTTGGAGCCTGCAAAGGAGAAGATCCCTGGCTTTGCCCAGCGGCTCACGGCTTTTAAGCTGCTTGCAACCATCTGCCTTATCCAGCTACAAATCCAAATCCACCATTAACTCCTTCTGGGAGACCTGAAGTCTATTCCCAGCTCCTGGGCAGTGACCTTGGACGTGGCATCCAGGGATTGCTGTGTGCTGGGACACACACACAGCAGCCACGCTCCACAGAGGAGTGACAAATCATTATGGGCTGGAATCCTTCAATCCCATCTCATTCCTGCCATGAATAGGGGTGCACACCTTGCACCTCACCAGGTTACTACAAGCCCTGKCCAGCCTGGCCTTGAGCACTTCCAGAGRTGGGGAATGYGCAGCTTCTCTGGGAATCACAGAGATCAACAGGTTTGAAGAGATTTGAAGGGCTTTTTAAACATGTAATTGTCTGGAGCAGTGCCCAGGTAAAGCCTTCCACCTGTGTGGGACCATAGCAGGGATGGGCCCCAGAACAATCCGCATCAAACACGGATGCTCCAAGGTGGACAGTAGCCAGAGTAGCACATGGTTAAGTTCCACAGTCTCTAAAATTGAATTTAAATGGAATTATTGTCCTAGTAAGGTGTGGAAAAGAAGTCACCTTGATTTGCTGGAGTGCAAAACTTTGGGAACACTTTCATATTCCAGGGAAGAACAAAGRTTGTTCCCAACCAAAGCTCTTCCAAGAAAATGAGCTACCAGCCAACTGAACAGGCCAGAGATGCTGCCCAGGAGACACAGGGAAAGAACWGGGGGAGAAGAGTTTTTAACTGATTCTGGGTTCTGTAGGGCTCTRCTCACTCATTCCTGGCCCAGATGATCCCATGATCCCAAAGATCCCAACCTACCGGTGTACTCGGGGTAGCAGATYGTTAGTGGGCTCTTCTTAATCTTCTCCTCAAACAGGTCTTTCTTGTTCAGGAAGAGGATGATGGAGGTGTCTGTGAACCATTTGTTGTTACAGATGCTGTCAAAGAGTTTCATACTCTCGTGCATCCGGTTCTGGAAAAGCAAATCCAATGGGAGAGATGTTAGGGAATGGGGACAGAGACTCTGCTGCACAGGCCAGACTCAAWATTGGGGTGTCATTGTCACATTCTYATTGCCATTGCCTCAGGAGGAGCACAGAGGGTACCATCACCTCCTCCTTTTCCTTCCTGGAGTGACTCACATGCAGGGAACAAACCATGAGAATAACTCCAGGCACCTCCCAGCACGCAGGAAGATGGAAAACCTAATTGATGGATTGCATTTCTCACTCTGTGGAGCAAGATTCCACCGGCTGATCCAAAGAGTGCTTGTCCTTGCAGCTCTCAGACAATTTACCAGCAGGAGTAYGCCAGGAAYGTTCCAGCCTGGTGCAGGATGGAAYTGGGATGTTCCCAGCTGCCTTCCTTGCAGCCATGAATCCCACATCACGCACCATCTCCTCGTCCTCAGCCAACACCAGGTCGTAGTCACTCAGGGCCACGCAGAAAATGATGGCGGTCACTCCCTCGAAGCAGTGGATCCACTTCTTCCGCTCGGAGCGCTGCCCTCCCACGTCGAACATCCTGGGGAAGGTGGGAGAAGTGGCTCAGGAGCTGTGCACATCCCTCCTGCCTGGCCCCCGTGGTGTCCCCAAGGATGGGGGAGGCTCAGCAGTGGGCTGGGAACACACAGGGTTTCAGGAGCTTCACTCAGGAGAGGGGGTTTTAAAATTCCCTTCTTGGGAGAGGGGATTTTAAAATTCCCTTCTTGGGACAGGGGATTTTAAAATTCCATTCTTGGGACAGGGGATTTTAAATCAGAATTCTCTATTATCTTTCAAGCCAGAGTGGACAGAGCTTGCAGCAACCTGGGCTAGTGGAAGGTGTCCCTGCCTGTCTGGTTCCAGATGTCCCTGGGGGAGCTTTAACATCCCTTCCAAGCCAAACCATTCCATGGTTCTGTTTTTCAGCAGGAAGAACTGGAAGTCACCATCCAGAGCCCTGCTGATTTTGTTCTCTCTCCTATTTCCTTAGCAACAACCCATTTGCTTGACTGGACTCCAAACACCTCCTCACAGGGAAAAGGATTATTGGGAACACACTACCTGCAAGCTCCTCGATTTTCCCATTAAGAAATTAATGGGGTTAAGAAATAATTTCATGTATTAAAAAATAATTTGAGATACTGGAGGTTAAATGCTGTGCAGTTGCTTATAGAATTACTGTATAAATTGAATTCATGTCTAATTAAATAGAAATTTGTGTCACAGGTAGTTCCAGCCCCCTGCTCATCCAAATATTTTGATGAGAGCCCAGGACTGGGATTTAATTAAATCAAGTTAATATCTGAGTTATTAAGTCATATATATTGATTTGTTCCCAGAGCAGACCAGGTGGGGATTTAATGATGTCAAACTAACTYCTATCTTCTGTTTAACCCTCTGGTCTAGAAGGATCCAGGATATTTACATGGCTTGAATCATTTGCTATTAGCACAGAGAGATCCACGAAGGAAGAGCCTCCCTGACAACTCAGCTCATCCCAACTGCAGTCCCTACGGCTTCCCCAGCCGTTAATAATGTCTGAGATGGAATATGAAGGCAGAGCTGGCAGCACCAGGGTTTCCGATGGATTAAGGCTTCCCTTTGTGGAGAAATCCCTCCAGGACAGCACCTCGTGTGTCTGGGGCCCTGCACATGATCAATTGCTCTGGGCAGGATTGGGAAGGAGGAGGGTGGAGATGATCAAAGGAACACACTGGAGATGCTAATCCTGATCCACCACCATGGGAAGATAAGTTACTCCCTGCATGGACCAGAAGCTGCATAAATAACTCAGTGATGCCRAGTATTTTGGCATTTCTGTTTAAAATGTTCTTAAGTTGCACAGCTCAGAAGCCAAAATACTGTACTCCCAAAAACGGAGAAAAAGTTTCCTTCTCCAAGGACCAGAGATGCTYCAAGGGCTGGAGCCTCTCTGCTCCAGAGCCAGGCTGAGAGAGCTGGGAAGGAGAAAGCTCCAGGGAGACCTAAGAGTCTTTTCCAGTGCCTAAAGGAGCTCCAWGAGAGGT